CTTGTTCTTTTGACAGTGCATTTCACAGAGCAGAAAAATTTTAATTTTAGAAAATTTTAACTTTTAGTTATTTTTAAAACAAGATATTATTTTCTTCAAGAATCTTGCCTTTGGTGTTGTATCTAGAAAGTCATCATCACCAAACCAAAGGCTATCTAGATTTTGTTTTTTGTTATCTTGTATGATTTTTATAGTTTTGCATTTTGCATTTGGGACAATGATCCATTTTGAGTTAATTTCTATAGGGGACATAAGATGTGTGTCTAAATTTATTTCTTTGTTTTTGCACATGAATGTTCAGTTGTTGAAAAAACTCTTCTCTCCATTTGCTGTCTTTTATCTTTTGTGATAGATCAGTTGATTGTATTTACGTGGCTCTATTTCTGGACTCTCTGTTCCATTGACCTGTTGGCTTATTCTTTCACCCATTCCTCACTGTCTGGGTCAGTGTAGCCTTAAATATCTAAGTAGGGTACTGTCAGTTGCCAAGTTCTTTTTCTTCAACATTACAGTGTTTTTTTTTTTTTTTACCTTTTTGTATTAAACTTAGAATCAGCTTGTAAATATCCAGAAAATAATTTTTGAAATTTTTATTAAGATTGCATTGAGTCTGTAGATCAAATGTGGGAGAATTGACAACTTGATAATATTGAGTTTGCCTGTGTATGAACATGAAGCATCTCGTCATTTAATTAGTGCTTTGATTTTTATCAATTTTGTATTTTTCCTTATATAGATTTTATGCATGTTTTGTTAGATTTATACTAAGGTATTTTATATTTGGGGGTGTTGATGGAAATCTTACTGAATAGTTAATTTTAAATCCCAGTGTTCTTTGCTGTTGCATAGGAAAGTATTTGCTGTTGATATGATTCTACACCAAGAAGACCCTAAAAGTTCCACCAGAAAATTTCTAGAACTAGTAAATGAATTCAGCAAAGTAGCAGGTATAAAATCAACACCCATAAATAAAATGCATTTCTGTATATCAGTGACAAATCCTTCAAAAGGGAAACAGGKGAAAACTACCCCATTTACAATAGCCTCAAAAACAAAAACAAAGTAAACAAACAAAAAACTCGGGAATCAACTTAATGAAAGAGGTGAAAGATCTATATAATGAAAATTATAGAACCCTAAAGAAAGAAATCAAAGAATACCTTAGAAGATGGAAAGATCTACCTTGCTCTTGGACAGGCAGAATTAATATTATCAAAATGACCATACTACCAAAAGCACTATACTGAGTCAATGCAATTCTGATCAAAATCCTAATGACATTCCTCATAGAAATAGAAAAAGCAGTCATGAACTTTATCTGGAAAAATAAGAGACCCAGAATAGCTAAAGCAATCCTTAGCAGGAATGGTGAAGCAGGTGGCATCACTATACCAGACCTTAAACTATACTACAGAGCAACAGTAACAAAAACAGCATGGTTTTGGCACCAAAACGGACTGGTAAACCAGTGGTACAGAATAGAGGACATAGAGACTAACCCACAAAATTATAATTATCTTATATTAGACAAAGGTGCCAAAAACATGCATTGGAGAAAAGATAGCCTCTTCAACAAATGGTGCTGGGAAAACTGGAAATCCATATGCAACAAAATGAAATTAAACCCCTCCTATCTTTCACCATGCACAAAACTCAACTCAAAATGGATCAAGGGGCTAGGAATAAAACCAGAGATCCTGTGTCTAGTAGAAGAAAAAGTAGGTCCTGATCTCCATCATGTGGGATTAGGCCCCAACTTCCTTAATAAGACTCCTTTGTGCAAGAATTAAAAACCAAGAGTCAATAAATGGGATGGACTCATAAAAAGTTTCTTCTCAGCAAAAGAAACAATCTGTGAGGTGAATAGATAGCCTACATCTTGGGAGCAAATCTTTACCCCTCACATATCAGATAGACATTTTTATTATTAACTTTGTGTATTGCTGTATTGCTTATTAGTTTTAGGAACTTTTTGTGGATATTTTTGGACTTTCTACAAAGATTTCATGTCATCTATAAAGGAAGCTTTATTTCCTCCTTTCTAACATATATAATATATATTTCATTTACTTTTCTGATATTATTGCACTGGCGAGGACTTTTATTATTTTTTTGAAAATCAGTGATAAGAGAGGATATCCATGCCTCATTCCCGATCTGAATGGGAAAGCTCCACATTTCTCACATTATGTATGATGTAGGGTTTTATACATGTTGTCCATCAATCAAGTTGAGGAAGTTACTTTCCCTTCCTAGTTTGCTGGTAGTTTTTATCATGAATGAATGCTGGACTTTGCCAAATGCTTTTTCTGTATCTATTGATATGATCATGTGATTTYCCCCCCTCTTTAGCTTGTTAATGAATGCTGGCTTATGTAAATGAATTTTTGAATATTGAACCACTCTTGCATACTTAGGATCAATCATAAATGGTTATGATATGTAGTTAATTTTATACAMTATTTGATTCAGTTTTCTAATATTCTGTTGAGGGGTTTTATATCTRTATTCAGGTGATATACTATCTGCAGCTTTCTTTGCTTATGGACTTATAGATTTGCAGTTATTAGTAGAGAGATCTTTCTTATACTAAAGGAAATCACTCATGTTTTCTTTTAGTTCCTTTATACTATTTTTATAAGTTAAGTTTTAATCAATCCATACTTGTTATAGTGCAATTTATTTTTCCTTCTGGACAACTGCCTGGTCATTCTAATGCCATTCTTTGAATGGACCACCATTTACTATTTTGAGATATTCTATAGGCATTTTATAGAACATTTTTATTATCTTTGGGTCTATTTCTTAAGTCTCCTCTATCAGTCTCTGTCTTTTGGTGTATTATAAAGTTTGTTTTGACAATGCAAGTAGCTTTTAGGAACTGCTTTCTGACTACTATGCTCAGTACTATATTTTAATTTAATGTCCCTTCTCTGTCCCTATCTTGCATATGTGGCTATATGGATTTCTTCTCTATACTAATAAAGTACCCATTTATTGACTCTATATTACATAATATTTGATGCCATTTTATGTCTTAAATGTAACTCTAGTATCTGTTATTTATAAAAGCTGAAGCCTAATATTCAGCCAGGTGCCTCTGGCATGTTTGTGAAATATTCCAGTTTTGTTGGACTTTTCAAGAAGGTGGATTTGCTCAAATCTCCTTTTTTAAATTCATATCCATGAATTTTTCACATCATAATTACCAAAATGTAACACAGTTACAACAACTGAACTTAAATGCTGAAAATTATTTAAGTTCCATTATTTTACCCAGACACTTGCCTTGCCAGGTGAAGCCCTTCTCAGTGATTCCCAGGGCTTGGAAACAAAATGCTCTCAGCTGCCTCATTCTCAGCAGTTGCTGTCCCAGTCCGTCTGGTCCCTTTTGTGAACTATGCTTCRATTGCTAAAGACATGGGCTTAGTTTTCCTTGCTAGTAAAGTACACATACAAAGGGTCCCTGCTTTCAYTTTCTTCTTACTGTAGAAATAGATATTGTAACATAATGGTGATGTTCCTGCATTTCGGCTTGGTTTAGCTTCCCCTCAAATAACCTTGGTAAAGAAATGGAATGGTCTTCTCTCTTCACTACCCAGAGCAAGAGGGGTTCCCCCCCCCCAAACACCTGGGTAAAATGGGACACTTCTTTATCAGTTTGTTACTACCAGCAACCATTTCTTTACAAACTATCTTGTTTGTTAGACTCCAAAATAAAATCCGTGTTTTGAAAGAGCTTTTCTCCCTTATATCGGAATGGCATTTTAATAAGCCTTTTGAACAGATTTAAACTTATTTCACATCAGCTTTCTTTTCTGAAGCCAAGTCATACCAGTTTTGTTTAGCTTTTCTAATCCTTTAATCATTTTATCCTCAGCATGTTTCCAAATGCTTCACATTTCCATAGATTCCAGAACTGGTCTGAGTTCTTTAATAAAGCCTGATCAGGATCGAATGAAATGGAAGGATCGCTCCTTTGCTGTTATGTATTTTGAGGTGTATTATTTCCAAAATGAAATAGTTAAGCAACAGCACAATGCTTCTGCATGGCCCCATACACTCCTCATGGCATGTATGTCCCCATAGGATGAGCATTATGCATGAGCCTGTGTAGCTACACAGAGATCTGTGCTGAAAAACAGTCTGTACTTGGTTTGATGCTGTGTTCCTGCTGTCTTTATTTAAATACGTGGTTCCTTCCTTTCATTTTTCATTGMATCCTACAAATCAAGTAGTTGACCCTGCTTGTTGTTGATGACTAGAGGGCATGGTTGGTAATCATAAGCCATTTCTAACCCACCACCCTCAGTAATAACTATAGGAGCTAGACCCCAGGTGAGGCAGTCTGGTCACAAATTTAYATTCCCTTTCCTGGTTCACACCTCCTCCCCCACTGTGCTTAGAGATGCACTCACTGCCCACCTGTTGTCTCTGTTTTCCTTTGGATTTGTCTCCTTCTCATTGCTCCATTATCTCCACTCTGGCACTGAGGTATATTTGTTTATAGAATCCAAATTTCTGGTACTCAGTAGTTTCTTCCAGAAGATTCTGCAAGGATCTTTTATCCTTTATAGGCTTCCCACTTATTACCTCTTCTCCAGTGTATTGTCCACTTATTTCCAAGAATTCTTGCCTCCTCTATTTTATTTGTTTAGGACAGCTGGCGATTCAGTACAGTAGTTAATTTCCCAGCCAAAGTTTAGATTTTTCCCTGACTTTTTGCAAAGAGGCTGGGATACTAATTGCAGGCATTCTGTCTTGGTAGAAATTTCGATTCCAGTTCCATATCAGGATTCTGGGGTATGTGGGGATGTACCTTGGAAACATTTTAAACTTGASCCATAGTTACAAGTAAGAGAATATTTTAGTTCTATTTGTTTTTACCATAAAGCTAATTCCAGGTGCCARATCTAATATGTAATTTAACTTTGAATAATCATTGTATATGTCATACATTGGTTCATTTATCAATTTATGTCCATTTTTTTTTCTTGTAGCTTAACAAACAACAACTACAGTTACTAAAAGAACGGTTCCAGGCCTTCCTCAATGGGGAAACCCAAATTGTAGCTGATGAAGCATTTTGCAATGCAGTTCGGAGTTACTATGAGGTAAGTTTGAGGAGCTTTGTTTTTGGCACTTTGCTGCTTTTTAAACATTTTTTTCATGGTTTTCTCATTTTAAGAAATTTAATGATAGAAAGTCTGAGTTTGCAATCTTCTCAAAAGCATTGTCAATTCTATTTTGCAATTTAAAAAACTCTAATTCCACAGCCTGGTTTTGAGAGATAAACAGAATTGGAAATTATTCACATCTTTTGAAAAGTAGGCTGTTTAGAAAAGTCTTCTGGCGGTGACTGATACAGCTGAGTATAGCTATCTTTAGGTCCACATGTCTAAATTATCCTTTTTAATCAGGATTTCAATAGTAAGTTGCTATCATACCATTTTGTCCCCTAAGCGTTATAATAATTAAGGCCAGTAACTAATTTTAAGAGGATAAATGGAACTTTATTTTCTTCTTGAAGGAATAATACTACTAATACAGTCTTGCTCTTCTGCTTTTAGCTTGTGACTCATTGGGGATTCTCTATGGATTTCCTATGAGCACCAGTTTTCACACATGGTCATTAACTACTTCATTGAGTTGCCAATAGATGTTAAGTTTAAAGAGTTCTCTTTTGTTCTAAGCATTTCAGAGGCCTTAGGAGAATAGGCTACTTCCGTTCTATAAACACTCTAGACCATTCTGCTAAAGAAACATGTTAACATGCAAACATATATTAGACTATTTTAAAAAAGGAAAATGGTACCAAAAAAAAAATGGCTTGAGCTTTCCTGAGGCAGGGATTGTTTTTATGTGAAAAATAAAGTAACTGGATGTTACAGATGCTTGGAGGGGTTTGTAATCCATGAATGGTATGCACTAGAGGTTACCTAATGCCCCTCCAGAGAGACTTCTGTTGGCCTATGCCTTGGTCTCAAGATGAAGTCTGGCTTACCAAGTGTGCATCTGACACATATCTGTGGAAAAAGTGGATACACTTTCTAAGTAGACCTTGACCGGAATATCTTATCAAATGTATGATCTTCCATTTCATCTCAAGATTCAAAGTCTGAGTCTTGCTTGATGAAATCTTGCCCTGAATCTTAAAAGATGAGATGTAAGATCCTACACTTGCATCATGTGATAAAATAAAAGTCAAAAAAGTCTATATTCAAGATAAAGAAAATGAAACTCAAAAAAGTAATTTGTATAAATACATGTAAATATTTTAACGAAACAGCTCATTTTGGGTTTTGGTAAGTGCATCATGGCACTGTAAGATGATAATATTAGGGAAACTGAAATTGGGTGAAGGAAATGAGAGAGTACTCTCCACTATCCTGGTATCTTTTTGTAAATCTAAAATTTTTCCAAAATAAGTTTTTTTTTTCCTTTTAAAGTAAGTATAGTACAATCTGAACATAGTGTAATTAATAAAAGGCATAGAGAAGCTGTGCTTATATAATATTGTGACTCTAATGATAAGAGATTGTATCCCCAATGTATTATATCTGCTGATCATSTTCTCTTCTGGGCATTATCAAGTGATTGATAGATAGAGACAAGTACAAGGTGATCAGGTGTGTGGCATATAATATTTGGTTACTGGAAAGAACTAGAGCTATTTACCCCGGTCACAGATAGGCTTTCTGTTGAACATGGTTCAAAAGCAAAATGAGGACTAAGATGGAAACTGAGGCTGGTAAGATTTCCTTTCTGTTACACAAATGATGTTTTTTGAGTGAGTCTATGAAAAGCCTTTTTGCATTTTGATATTGTAGGTCTTTATATTCTATAGACCCTTTAGAGTTATCTGGGTCTAGGAATGTAGCTTAGTGATATGAAAGGCCCTTTGTTTAATACCCAGCACTGGAGAAGAGAATGAAAAAGTCATCTGTCTGTTCTTTATGTTTGTGGTACCTTCAGATATTTGATCTACTTTACTCCTCTTTAATACCTGGAATCTTAGTATGAACCCCAACATATATTTCTTTTTATCCACATTAGATGATCAAAAACCTTTCTTCATGGTAAATAATTTCTTTTAGTTAGGTCATGCTAGAATTAGATTTTTCATGCTGATTCTAGGCAAAATTTTCTTAGAGGTGTGTGTGTGTGCATGACATTTATCAATTTTAATATRTATTCACCATGGATACTATTCAAAGTATATACTATAAAGTTAAAAATGATTTTTATATGACCATATAATTTAATATTTTAGATATTTTAAAATGTCTTACATACTATGAAGTAAAGAGAATAATAAAGAATTTTTTTAAATTCCATCAATTTTTGTGTGTGGGAGTAATCAGGGATCGAACACAGGAGTACTCAACCACTGAGCCACATCCCCAGCCCTATTTTGTATTTTATTTAGAGACAGGGTCTCACTGAGTTGCTTAGAGCCTCAACATTGCTGAGTCTGACTTTGAACTTACAATTCTCCTGTCTCAGCCTCCCAAGTCACTGGGATTACAGGTGTACTCCACTGTTCCTGGCTCATCAATGTTTTTTATCATAGTTTTACACATAGTTAGAAAACAATGTACCCAAACTTCTAAACCACCTAATTAGGCAGACATGATGGTAGAGAAGGATCTGAACAGGAAAAGAAGAGGGGGGGAAGMATATAACATGCATAATTATTTATTGAAAGCATGCATAAAAGTTAGCATTTACAATTTTATGGCTGCAAATTCTTGATAGATCCTACTATATATTCATTTATTTTAATATTGCTGTTTTTCTCTTTCTTCAAGCATCTCACTGTCCAGAAGAAGACATAAAATGACCACTGATTCTATAAGTTTTTTTTTCTTTCTGGTCATATCTTTTATTGTTTTTGTTTTGCTTTTCATTTTAGAAAACTTCAGCTGACTTTGAGGATGGGTAAACATAGCTTTATTGCAATTTGTTATTTTCCAAGTTTTCTTCCCATCAGATAGCTACATATGTTTCCTGAAATTCAGGTGGACTTCATCCAAATACAGCAAATGACAGTGTGATTTATAATGGATATGTGGAAAAGTAAATGGCTTTTCTCTTGAAGATTTCCAAAAGACAGTATATAGTTGCTTACCAATGGTTTTCAGCATAATAGAAACTTTCAAGTTATCATACAAAAAAATGGATATTAGACCTTTTTTCCTCTTTCTTGTGTGTGTGTGTGTGTGTGTGTGTGTGTGTGTATGTGTGTTGGAAGTGGGTACCTGGCTTTGTTTACAACTTTTTAGATCAGATGTGTACTTTTATTATTACTTCCTTATGTTTGTTCTCTTCAGGTTTTAGAGAGTAAATAAGAATTCCAGTGGTTTTTAATCTTCTAAAAATTAACTAATTAGTGCTGGAGTTGTACTTCAGTGGTAGAGTGCTTGCTTAGCATGTGTGAGGCACTGGGTTCRATAGGAACAAATAAATAAAGTAAAGGTTAAATTCTTAAAAAAAAAATTAACAAAGTAGGACACAGCATGTTGCTCGTGGTAGAGAGCTTGCCGGGCATAGATGAGGCCCTGGGTTTGATCCACAGCACCRCAAAGGAAAAAAAAATTATCAAAGTAACATTAAAATAAGTCTTGATACAACAACACCATCATTCCATTTGCTATTCAGATCTCCTGCTGTTGAATGAAACAAATGAGGAGGCTTTCAATAAATTAAAAAAATTATTTTGAGTRGTTCTTATTTTATTATGAAATTTATAACTAATTATTTTCATCTAAAAATGGAACTTCAATTTTGGCCCTTTTATTGCATATTGTTATGCAAAATGTAGTCAGATTCTAGAGCTCAGAAGTTTTCTGCTTGAACATTAAGAACACTTTAAAAAAGAAGTAATGTTTAAATTAGAGAATCTAAGAAATAGTAAAAAGAAGAAAAGTTTATATAATAGTAAAGCTGCTCTGAAAATAATCCATTATGAAAAAAAGAGGAAAAGAAGACAAATATTTTCTACATAATTCCAAGACCTACAGACAACTTATTTTAAGTGTTTCTCTTGTGTGATTATGAAACTGAACTTGTTTTAAGCTTTTTACATAATGTTATGTATTAAAGAATTAATATCAAATGTTTTGCATATATGTGGTTTTAGGTAACTTCTTTAGGTGCTCCTTTCTAAATGTGATTTAATTTTCTCATCAGTAGACACTTAAATTTTCTTCTTTTTTTGTGTATTAAAATGATGAAAGGATCATTCCTATTCTTAAATTGATGTTGAAGAATTTCTACAAACTGTATAACTGGGTAATGGGTGATGAGCATTGCTTAAGCTCTTCATGCAGATTACAAATTGCCTGGAGAAAAGCACTAAAAATTTATGCTACTACAGCAAAAGTGTGCTGGTTGTTTTCCTGTGTRTTTGGTATTATCAAAAAGTAAATGCCAACCATTGGATTCACTCATTTCTACTTTACTATTAGTGATGTTTCACATTTCCAAGTTGTTCATTTATATTTCTTTTTTTTATGAATTACTTGTTCACATCATTTGTTTTTTTTCCATTTAGATATTCATCTTTTAAATACTGATTTATAGGTGGTGTTTACACACTAAATAGACAACCCTAAGTTAGGCTATGGTTATTTTCTTCAATTTATCTTTTGCCCTTTRCATTCATTTGTTATAAATTTTCTTTCCTCTGATATTATTTTTTTGGTTCAGTAAGAATGAAAGGAGGTTCATATTCTAGGTAGAGATTATTCTCCATTTGATTTTCTTTGGATTCTATTTTCTTGTTCATAAATCATTGCTGACATTTGTTTAAATCACATTTTCCCCTCCCTCCTTATTCCAGCCACCTCCTCTCTTGAATTAGTAGTGCTCTCTATAACTTGGGCTCCACCAAGAGTCATGTGTTGGTGTGACAGAGCCACTGCTGTAGGTCTTTCTCCCCATCTGCAGAAGGAGGGGATGACCTGTAAAGCTCTCCCCAATTGCACAAGTCTGTGATTGTTAAAATTTGTTTCTGGGTTATTCTCCTTTGCCTTGTCTGAAATGCTCTTGCAGCTCCAAAAAATAAAAAATAAAAAAGGGACCACAGCTTGATTCTATACTTTCAGCATAA